ACTCACCTCAGCCTCCCAAAGGCGCGGGATTACAGGCTGAGCCACCAAGCCCGGCTGTGGTCCTTTTAAAATATAAAATAGATCATGGAATTCCTCTGCTCAAAACCCTTCATGGCTCCCTATCACTCCGGGTAAAAATGCTTGCAATATACCCACATGGATTTCATCCTGGTCAGTTCTCCTACCTCTTTCCCTACTATTCTCTTCCCACTCTATCCTGTTACCCTGTCTGCTCACTCTTGCCTATTATGCTAGCTGAGTTCCCTACTTTCCTCACTTGCTTCATGCCTTTGCCAAAATATCATTTACTCAGGGAGGACTATGATTGATTAATCGATTAAAAGCAATGTAGATAAAGAACGTAATACAATGTCTGGATTAAATAGGTATTTGAAAGATGGTAGTCAAAGCCAAGTGACTTGCTCAAGTCACACAGTGACTGGCTGGGATCAGGTTTCAAACCAAGAATACAGCTCCAAAACTGGCTGGGCACAGTGGCTCATACCTGCAATCTCAGCACTTTGGAAGATGGGAGGATCATTTGAGAAGTTCAAGACTAGTCTGGGCAACACAGTGAAATCTCATCTCTATCAAAAAATTAAAAAATTAGATGGGCATGGTGATGCATACCTGCTACTTGGGAGGCTGAGGCAGAAGGATCACCTGAGCCCAGGGTCAAGGCTGCAGTGGGCTGTGATTGTGCTACTGGGTGACAGAGCGAGCCTCTGATTCAATGAACAAACAAACAAACAAATAAATAAAACCCATCATCCTCAGTGCCTATAAGGTTTGTAACTAAAATTCATCATCCCTAGCATTTGTACAGTTGCCTGGTTTAGTACCCTGGCCTACATGGATCTCTCTCTCTCAGAGAATCCCAATACATATTAAATGTAGCACATGTTTGGTCATTGATTTATACATGGTCTTTAGAATATCACTATTTTCAAATACATCCTGTCTTTCAAAAAAACACAACTGGCCAGGTGTGGTAGATCATGCCTGTAATCCCAACACTTTGGGAGGCCGAGCTGGGTGGATTGCTTGAACCCAGGAGTTCGAGACCAGCCTGGACAACATAGTGAAACTGTCTCTACAAACAAACAAACAAATAAAAAATAAAAAAATTAGCCAGGTGTGGTGGTACACGCCTGTAGTTCCAGTTACTTGGGATGCTGAGATGGAAGGATCACCTGAGACCAGGAGGTCAAGGCTGCCCTGAGCCAAGATTGTCATAATCATAACACTGCACTCCAGCTTGAGTGACAGAGTGAGACCCTATCTCAAGAAAATACCCCCAAACAACCACCACCACTACCAACAAAGCCTTTCTTATCGCAGAGACTGTTTTATGTAAAATTCCTTTTCAAAATGTCTCAGTGGCCGGGTGTGGTAGCACATGCAAGTAATCCCAGAGCTTCAGGAGTCTGAGGTGGGAGGAATGCTTGAGGCCAGAAGTTAGAGACTAATCTAGGCAACATAGCGAGATCTCATCTCTATAAAAAATAAAAAAATAGATAAATCCCCCCAAACAAAAACAAAGTGTCTCAGAGCATCTAAAGCAATGCTGATGCAGTTAATAAAAACAAAACCAAATCGGGTGTGTTGGCATGTGCCTATAGTCCCAGCTACTTGGGAGACTGAGGTCAAAAGTTCAAGACCAGCCTGGGCGACATAGTGAGATCCCTATCTCTTAAAAAAAAAAAAGCAAAATGTCTCAGAGCATCTTAAGCAATATTGAGGTAGTTAATAAATAATAAAATATGAACTATTCATGTAATACATATATTATGATTTTTGCTGTCTCACCAATATTTAATGCTTACTAATCAAACTAACTTTTCTAATTTTTTTAAAAAAACTTTATTCCTTCCTGTTCTTATTGAAAATGTCTTGGTTGTTGCTTTAAAATTATTTTGACTATATTTACATTTAAGCCAAACATCTTAACATATGTAAATTTTTTTAATGATGTTCAAAACATCATGGCTCAAATAAACATCCTATAATTCACTATTGTATTTGAGCTTGTGACATCTATTAAACACTTTATATCTTGAAAATATAATACTGCAACACAAACTACATATTGGTCATAGCTAATTCAAAACTGAATTTGGGAACCAATAGACTACCAGTAACATCACTTCAAAAATTTCAAGGATAAGATTATCACAGATACGATTTATAATACAAAGTTTGGTCATCTTAAACCATGTGTTGAAGTGTACCTGAGACTGTGTTTTCAGAAAATCTCTATCTATGGGCATGCGAGGGGCTCTTCTTCCTACATATATAGTATAATAGGCAGCCTCTTAGTCAGGAGCACATTTCAATTTGGCTTTTTAACTTTCATAAATAGATGTCAGCCCTATATCCAGTCTGGCTATCCATTAAATCATGTGGTTTGAACTTACTACAAAACACTAATTTTTAAATTAAATAATTCTCAAAGAATATGACCTAAAACTTTATAAGAATAATTCTAACGTATGGCCTAATGGATATACAATCTGTAGATCAGTTGTTCTCAAATGTAGGTGGGTAGGATGTAAGGAAAATTTTATCAAAATATACATGCTTGACATCCTCCCCCACTTCTACCACCAGTGTCCATTGTCTAGAGATTCTGATACAACTCTAAAATGTGAAATCATCACATTTCTCTTCATCTAACTATGCTTTAGCCCTGTTTTCCCTTCATTCACTTCTAAAATTCTATATTTTTTAACTGCCTTAAATCCTTTGTGGATTAGAGAAAAAATAAATTAAATAAAAACACATCTTAAGTTTTCAACCACGAATATGTAGATGTTTAATGAGATAGTCAGTATAAATGCTACTTTATTGAGAATATAAAACTATTACATAAATACAGTCCTTATTCTTACCTCCATTTATCCTTTTGACTGCCAAAATCATTTATTTGCAGGTCAAGCTGTGCTCAAGAAAACACTGGAGACCACATTTTCTTTTTTGCTAATATAATTATGCCCAGAATCTCTATAAAATATTGTATTTATCCAAACAAATTAAAAGTGAACAATAAATGAATTCAAGTGGCGTTTTACCAAGTCAAAATTAATCAATACTATCATTTAACATCATGATATTTGAATCATTAATAAAATGGACTGTTTTGGTATTTGTAGCTGCAGACTAAATGTTTTAATCGTGCTCCAGCCCATGGGGAAGTATAGGAGGGGGGAAACATTAAAAAAATTCCTTGAAAGTTTAATTGCTTTGTATATAAGTATTGCAATCACATACATATTTTTGACCAAGAGTTTAATTCTATGAACCAAATAGATTCTCTAATAAGCATTTTTTTCTTTAAAATACCACTGCATTCCTTCAATTAACTTCTGATTTTTATTACAAATAATGATGAGTTAAAAGATATCAACAGGGTATACTAATCAAAGAAAAATTGAAGATAGTACTTCTCCCTAAGAATCATTTTCTCAACTCTTTATTATAAATTATTTCATCCTTCAGTAAGTTAAGAGTTTCCTCATATGTGATACAAGGACAGAAAAAAGTAGAAGTGTGACTTTTGCTGCTTAGATAAATACATACATTTAGTTCCATGAGGCATATAGAATACCATAATTACTTATGACTTGAATATAATTATTGATTTTTCACTTATTCACATTTTAAAAACACTTTAAAAATGTACACTTTAAAAATTGACAATGTTCTCTTACACATTTTCTACTCGAACACGCTGATAGTCAGAAAGTATAGCACCTACTGATATTCCCTCTACCTCTTCTTTTTCCTGAAAATAAAGGAAAAAACATAACTTTAAAAATAAAGTAGCAAATGTTTCTGCATCATGCTCTGAAAATTATAAATGATCTGTATCTCATCGAGGAAAACACCTTGAAGCAGAATAATTAACTAAAAATACACTCTACATTAAAGAAAAAAAACTTACATGTATTTAAGTCATTCTCAGCTGTAAGAAAAATAATTGTTTTACTTAAAATGTAGGTAGAGACTCCTTTCCATGGAGAAAGCAAAGATTTAGGCAGCATTTCCAAAATGTTTCACATTTAACATATTTTTAGACTCAACTGACATTTGATGGAAACTTTTGAAAAAATTTTAGGGACAATATTTTTCTAGATTGAATAACTTTTTTCAAAATTAAGCAATGGCATAAATAGATAAAGGAACACAATGCTTTTTATTTATATCTTAGAAAAAAATAACAGGAGCATCCAGAAAGCAGAGCTGGTAGAGGTATTGCCTGGATAACAGTATAGGCCCAACAGATAAAGAATTCTATGATGGGAAGGAAGCAATAAATTATTATCAACAGAGTTACAACTGAGAACATCCAGCAGTATATCTAGCATAGTCACACAGGAATGAGGACTAGTCTGTCGAGCATACTCACTAATGAGCTGGATGAGAATGTAAATTCTGGTATGATCAAGATTGCAGATGATACAAAGCTAGGATGGACCAAAAAGAAAAGAAAATTAATACCACACATAGATGGATATGGATTACCTGGGGATTTGAAAGGACACAGGTCTAAGATGAAATTTAGTGTAAAGAAGTATAAGATAATTCACTTAGGAAACAATAATACATAATACGGGTATAAACTAAGGAACTGTTATCTAGAAAACAGATATGAAGAAAGTGACTGGGGGTTTTTACTAATAAGTGAACAGAAATTCTCTGAATAAGCATAAAAGAAAATTCTTCCTAGCATGTGGATATACAGAAGAAACTACTCCAGAGAGATAACTTCATTATTAATACTCTGGTTTTACCAAACTTGGACACCTAGAAAGAAAACAATAGTGCTCCACATAAAGTAAAAGTTAATATTTCAAGGCATGCTGATATAACCCTGTGTGCTCTAAAAGGATGTCATAATAAATAAACAAATTGTACAATAGAAATTTTCATGTCTTTGGAGATAAAATCAATTTTACAATTCCTCTCCAAAATGATAGCAAAATATCTGTCCAAACCACCCCAAAATAAAACGATTATTTTTATCAGATAAAATTTCAGGAAAAGATCTATTTCCTTTACTTTTCTATTTCAGCAATGTTGTGAGAACATTTGCTTATAACCTTTCCCTGACCTTCCTAGTCATTTTTTTCCCCTAAAGGTTACTGTATTCATTAGAAAAAGTCATGGTATAGTGTTCCTCATTAAATGCAAATGTAGGGTCAGGCGTGGTGGCTCATGTCTATAATCCCAGTACTTTAGGAGGCTGAGTTGAGAGGATAGTCTGAGCCCATGGGTTTGAGGCTAGCCTGGACAATTTGGCGAGACCTCATCTCTATAATAAATCAAGAAAAGTTAGCCGGGTGTGATGGCACATGCCTATAGTTCCAGCTACTTGGAAGCCTGAGGCGGAAGGATCAGCTGAACCCAGCAGGTTGAGGTTGTAGTGGCCATGAGCGTGCCACTGCACTCCAACCTGGGTGACAGAGTGAGATTCTGACTCAAAAACAAATAAACAAATAAATAAATAAATGCAAATAACAGAGAAATGAATAGTGCTAACATAAGATCAAAATTTTAGTTATATTCCTATACCATATAGGTATTTATCTGAAGTTCTGCCATAAAATTATAAAGTAGCGAATATTATATATGTATAGTTGTGAATATATACATATATGTGTGAATTTCTCTATAGATATAGAAACAAAGATAAAAGTCACTGGTGTTCTTCTTCCTAAAGTCAAGCATTATTAAAATAATAACTGGCATTTATTATCCATTTGCTATGCATTAAAGTGCTATGATTCTCATTTAATGACAACCCCCAAACAATTAATTTCTTTTTAGTAAATATGTACTCTCTGTAATTCTCTTGTACTCCTATTTTATTTTTTATTTGATAACACCTAATTAATCAGTTTTACAATCATATACCCAGCCAAATTCTGACTGTTCTTCAACACTAAGCCTATGTATAGTTCATTAGTTATATTTGTTCAATAATCAAAATTATTATCACCCAGTAGAAATCCAGGCCTCTAACCACTAGTTCTGTGATTCTGAATGTTACTTAATTTCTCTGTCTCAGTTTTCTCATCTGTAAAATAAGGATAATATTAACAGTTCCTGTTGTCTAGGCTTATTATGAAGACTGAGTAAAATAATCCACGTAAATAACATAATATCTAGTATTTAGTTAGAAATCAGTAAATATTTTCTTATTTCATTTTTTAAATCATCTTTATTATTTCTAGTACTTCTATAACTACTTGCATCACTACTTCTAGTATTACTGCTACTGACTATTATTACTACAGTCATTCCTTTCTATCAATGAGAATTGGCTCCAGGAACCACTGCCTTCTCACCCCAAATCCACAGATACTCAAATCTCTTATATAAAATGGTGTAGTATTTGCATATAACCTACACACATCCATCCCTTATACTTTCAATCACTTCTAGATTACTTCCAATATTTAATACAATGTAAATGCTATGTAAATTGTTATATTAGTTTTTCCATTATTGTATTTTTTTATTGAAGAATTATTTTTTATTGTTTTTTCCCCCTAATATTTTCAATCTGCAGTTGGTTGAATCCATGGATGTGAAACCCAAGAATACAGTGGGCTGACTGTACTATTACTACTGGATAAAGACCTAACTCTTTTCTTTGACAGACAAAGCCCTTCACTCCTAGGTTTTAACACACTTTCTCATTATCCCTTCTTGACACTGGCCTACTACCTTTGACACTCAATTCCACAGTACAGTTGCAATAAACTTTCACAACAGAATGAGTCCTGAATAATCCAGGGATAAGTAAGATTTCTGTTGATTCTTTAGTCAACTCTAAACATAAGTACAAACTTTTAAAAAAGACAAAAGGGACATTTAAAAAATAAAGACTTACTACATAGTCAATTTACTTTGTAGAAAAGATATAGCTAAATTTCCCCAATGATATGTCATCACTTTTTAATTATTCCACTTAATATAAAACAGAAGCAAAAATGTTTTCTATGACCATATTATGTACCAGTTTCATGTAAGACAACAATACTTTTATTACTGATAAGTTCAGGTACCAAAACTAAGTAATAAAGAAAGGGACATGAAAGCAAAAAGCTGAAGAAAGTTACACAGAGGAAGTGACTCTGTGGTCAATCTTCAAGGACATACTTGACTTTGTGAGAAAGAAAGGCGGGGGGAAACAATTGAGAGTGAAGAATATTTGCCAAAACTACAAAATAAAGCAGTTGGTGTTTTAGTGGTGGTTAGTAGTATGGGGTAGCTGGAGGCAAAAGTGTACATCATAAAATGGAAGAAAAAGTACATTGAAATCAGATTGCTAATAAATATGACCTGTATCCAAAAGGCAATCAAGAACCCCCTTACATGATTTTTAAAAAATCAACTCTGCTAGCCGGGCTCGGTGGCTCAGCCTCTAATCCCACGCCTTTAGGAGGCTGAGGTGAGTGGACTGCCTGAGTCCGCGGGTTAGAGACCCGCCTGGGCAATTGGCGAGACCTTATCTCTACAATAAATCAAAAAATCAGCCGGGCGTGGTAGCGCATGCCTGTAATTCCGGCTACTTGGAAAGCTGAGGCAGAAGGATCGCC